CCAGGGAAGAGTATAAGAGTATTGCTCGGGCATGCAGGAATGAAACTGAGAAGGCCAAGGTACAATTGGCCTTGAATCTAACAAGGGATGTGAAGGGTAACAAGAAGGGTTTTACATGTAAGTCAGCAACAAAAGGAAGATCAGGGAAAGTCTGGGTCCCTTAGTGAATGGGGGAGGCAACCTAGTAACAGATGATGTGGGAAAGGCTGAAGTACACAATGCCTTTTTTCCTCAGTTTTCACAGGGAAGGTCAGCTCCTAGACTACTGCACCTGGCAGCACAGTTTGGGGAGGAAGGTGAGCAGCTGACAGTGATGAAAGAACAGGTTAGGGACTATTTAGAAAAGCTGGATGTGTACCAGCATGATGGTGCTGAGGATGTTGGCCAATGTGATTGTAGAGCTGCTGGCTATTGTCTTCAAAACCTTTTGACAATTGGAAGAGGTCCTGGATAACTGGAAAAGGGCAAATATAGTGCCCATCTTTAAAGACAGGGAAGAAGGAAGATCCAGGGAATTACAGATCAGTCAGCCTCACCTCTGTCTTTGCTAAAATCATGGAGTATGTCCTCAAGGAATCCATTTTTAAGCACTTGGAAGACAAGAAGGTGATTAGGAACAGTCAGCAAGATTCACCAAGGGCAAGTCATGCCTGGCCAACCTGATTACCTCCCATGATGACATGACTAGCTCTGAGGATGTGGGGAGAGCACTGGATGTGATATACCTTGACTTTAGCAAGGCTTTTGATACAGTCTCCCACAATATTCTTGTAAACAAGTTAAGGAAGCATGGGTTGGATGAATGGACTGTAAAGTGGATAGAAAACCAGCTGGATCATTGGGCTCAGAGAGTAGTAATTAATTGCTCGATGTCTAGTTGGCAGACAATATCAAGTGGAATGCCCCAGGGGTTGGTCCTGAGGCTGGTTTTGTTCAATATCTTCATGAACGATCTCAAAGATGGGATGGAGTACACCCTCACCAAGTCTGCAGATGACACCAAGGTGGGGGGAATAGTAGATATGCTGGAGAGTAGGGCTAGAATTCAGAGAGACCTCAACAAATTGGAGAATTGGACCACAAAAAATCTCATGAGATTCAATAAGGAAAAGTGCAAAGTTCTGCACTTAGGACAGTACAATCCCATGCACCAGTATAGGCTGGGGACTGACTGGCTAAGCATCAGCTTTGCAGAAAATGACCTGGAGGTTACAGTGGACAATAAGTTGAATATGAGTCAACACTGTGCCCTAGTGAAGAAGGCTAATGGCATACCAGCATGCCAGTAGAGTGAGGGAAGTGACTGTTCCCCTCTATTTGTCACTGGTGAAACCATATCTCAACTGCTGTGTCCACTTTTGGGCCCCTCATTACAGAGAGGATTTCATAGATTTCATAGACATCAGGGCTGGAAGGGACCTCGGAAGATCATCGAGTCCAGCCCCCCGCCCAAAGGGCAGGAAGTCAGCTGGGGTCATAGGATCCCAGCAAGATAAGCATCCAGTTTCATCTTGAAGGTGTTCAATGAAGGCGCTTGAACCACCTCCAGTGGCAGGCTGTTCCAGACCTTGGGGGCTCGGACAGTAAAGAAATTCTTCCTTATGTCCAGCCTGAAACGATCTTGAAGTAGTTTGTGACCATTCGACCTCGTCATCCCTTGGGGCGCTCTGGCAGGCTAAAGAGTCCCAGGGCTCTCAGCCTGTCATCGTAGGGTCTGCTTCCCTGACCTCTGATCATGCGCGTGGCTCTTCTCTGGACTCTCTCAAGCTTCTCCACATCCTTTTTGAATTGTGGAGCCCAAAACTGGACACAGTACTCCAGCTGCGGCCTCACTAAGGCCGAGTACAGGGGGAGAATGACGTCCCGGGATTTGCTTGAGAAGCATCTATGGATGCAAGCCAGCGTTTTGGTCGCTTTACTAGCCGCCGCATCGCATTGCAGGCTCATGTTCATCTTGTGGTCAATGATGACCCCCAAGTCTCTTTCTTCCATAGCGCTAGCCAACATAGCACTGCCGCGCCTATAAGGATGCTGCGGGTTTTTTTCCCCAAGGTGGAGAACCTTGCATTTATCGGCATTGAACACCATCAGATTCTCGTCCGCCCACTTGCTGAGCCTGTCCAGGTCAGCCTGGATAACCTGCCTGTCCTCTGGTGTGGATGCTTTGCCCCAAAGTTTGGTGTCATCGGCGAACTTGGCCAGTCCGCTTCTGACTCCAGTGTCCACATCATTAATGAAGATGTTGAACAGTATGGGTCCAAGGATGAGGGCAAGTTGGAGAGAATCCAGTGGTAGGCAATGGAAGTGGTTAGAGGCCTGAGGAACATGATTTAGGACGAGAGGCTGAGGGAAATGGGCTTATTTAATCTGGAGAAGGGAGGATTTATTAACAGCCTTCAACTACTTGAAAGGTAGTTACAAAGAAGATGGAGCCAGACTGTTCTCAGTGGTAGCAGATGACAGAACAAGGAGCAATGGTCTCAAGTTGCAGCAAGGGAAGTTTAGGTTAGATATTAGGAAAAAGTTTCTCACGAGGAGGGTAGTAAGGCACTGGAACAGGTTACCCAGAGAGGTTGTGGAAACTTCACTTAGAGACTTTAAATACCCAGATAGACAAACCTTAGCTAGGATATTATAGTTGGGGACAGTCCTCCTTTGAGCAAAGGTTTGGACTAGATGACCTCCTGAAGTCCATTCCAGTCCTAAATTTCTATGATTCTATGATCTTTTGCAAAACAGCCTTCTGCCCAGGAAGCAAAGACAAGTGCTCTTAAAGACACCCCTCTTAAAGCTTAGCCTTCTTAGGCTAAGAAGATTATAATGCACCACTTTCCAGGAGTTGCCCCAACTAGCAGGCTATTGCTTAGTTTGGGTTGGGAGGGTCCCTATCCACCACTCCTGGCAATGCTGGATCAATGACAACAAGAATGCAAGTCACAGAGCCAGAAGGGGAGCAAGGGAGAAGGAGCCTGATTGTGCAGTCATTCCTGTGGCAGGAAATCTCCAATTCTTGTCCCTGATCCCTGGACTAGCTATGCACATTACAGAGTCAATGTTTAAAAAACAGAAATTACCCTGAGAAAAGGGACCATAGCCCACGACTTCACTCTCCCAGGGGAGTGCCCTTCTCTGTAGGCTATGGGGTCAGGCTTGCTTTCGCTCATTCTCCTTCAGGTTCCAAGAATCTTGGCTTAGCTTTAAGAGGGGTGACGTGTACCCATATTGAGACTACTGCTTAGAGAGCTCTATCTCCTGGGAGGGGGAGATGTGGTTATGAATCTGATTTGTCTAGGGCAACTTAAAACTCACTTCCTGGGTCAATGGTGTATTAGGCCATTACGTGAGCAGTGGGTATTGCCACAAGTCATTTAGGTAATCACCTTCAGATGAGGCTGCTCTGGGTCCCAAGTGTGTAGACCTGATTCATGCCCTTAAGATCCAGAATGGGGCAAGAGTTCAGACTCAGTACTGAGTGGGCACATCCACCTGTTCATTAATGTGCCATAGTTACTGCACATTAAGTTTAGTACTTGGTTAACCAAGTGCTAAATCAATGTGCTGGAACTTGTGCTACTGAGCAGTAGTGCCGGCTCACGGATTTTTAGTGACACTTACTGTACAGTAGTTGAATACTACTGCACAGTAGCATATTAGCACATTTTTTGCCTGGCATGCTACTGTGCAGTGTTATTAGGCTACTGTGCAGTTAAGCGTCTTGTGTTGATGTGCCCAGTGTTTCCTATTGGATAGCTCTAAGTGCCTCCCTGCCCAATGCTTAGGGTACGCTTTTATATTACATAATGAATAATACTGCATTTTCTATTAGCATTTTATTTTTAAGATCTTGTTTTTAGATCTGGGCCTGGCAGACTGGTCTCTGTATACAGCACCATTGAGAAAAGATGCAAAAGAACAGTTTTGTCAAGGTGGGGCTATTTTCATCGGCAAAGTTAATAATTAAGCAGCTCTGTTGCAATGGAACACAGAGGTTTGAAGAGGCACTGTTCCACTCCGAATGTTGGCACTTCAATCAGTACGTGCCAGGTACATGTGGCAGCAGCACAGGCGTATTTGGCGTCAGTACCTGGAATGTTTAACAATGAATCAACAGGATGGCACAATTAACAAGAAAACCTCAGTGAGACCTTAGACTGTGGTTTTAAGCCTGTCACTGCTGTGTAAGGTGGGGAGAGAGAGGAAAAGAAGACATTTTCAGAGGCAGACACTGATTCTGAAATCTTAGTGAACAGCCCCATTGTACCATTTTTTGAGGGGCATTTTGCTCTCTCCCCAGAATTCTATGAGTCTGATCTGTACTACTCCTGTAGAGAAGGAATGCAGTGCTCTTGTTTGTGCATCAGACAGGAAAGGGCCAGAATTGTGGTTAGGCCCTTCCTAGCATGTTCCTTGTATCCTCACCCTCCCCAGCTCCTGCTACAGCCATATTTGTTTGTTAGGACTGGGAATGTAGAACTTCACCAAAAATTCATCTACAGAATTTTCCTATTAGACCTGAGGGTATCAAAGTGATATTTCACTCCTTCCTGACTGGAACACATCAAAACATTTAACAAAGGTTCCTTATACCAACCCTAACATTATTCACCCAGGGCTATATATTTAGGGAGGAGGGTCTGTCATTGTCGATTTATGATCTAAATCCTTGAAGATTCTGGCAAAACTCTCACACAACTTGATATGAAGGATTTTACCTAGATTCAATATATACTCTATATGACAAATGCTGAAATAATGTGCAAGCAGATTCAACCGCCCACAGAAGCTTTGGAAGCTACAAACAGTAGGTGTGAATGCAAGTATGCATATGTGAGAAAAACTTTTAACAAAAGGTACAATACATTTTGCTTGCAATGGTATCACTGACATCTAGTGGTAAATCAGAGTAAATTCAATTTACCCTTTGAAAGGACATATATTATAAATTAAGACCCTAATCCCTGATCAAATAATATGACAGCACTTACATTTTCATATATATTTTTATTTATGACAAAAACATTAAACATTGAGACACAGACGTAATTAACTTTTCCTTACTAGTTTAAACTGAGCTTAATAATTTTTTTTGTCCTCTATGTGCACGTCCCCACATGCGTCCACGTAGTTTGCGGCGCCTCAAAGCTGTTTTTGAGGCGCATGGCACACATGGCACACTTGCGCCCATTTACTGCATGGGAAATAAGCAGCATGGTGAGTTTTCTTGACACTGGGAGATCCTGGTGTCAAAAAAAAAGCCTACTGCTAAAAAATTTGGTGTGGCATACATAGCAGCAAACTGGAGCCTGGCTGGTGGCCAGGCTCTGAGTGGCACCACTGCTGCCCCACCAAGCCAGGACCCGTTGCTGTCCTGGGAGGTACAAATATGTGCTGCTGCTATTTGTCCTGTGGGAAATGCATGCCCCTGCACACGTGTGTTTGTGGGGATGCACCCTACCTGTTCTGAAAAAAACTATCAATGAGAATTAAATTGACTACCATATACATTAGGAATTCTAGTAATTTCCCTGTGTATCTAATCAGAAGCATATTAAAACTTAACGTTTGACACCCAGCATTTTAAAATTCAGCCTTCGTATTCCTAGAGAATTCTTTGATGGTATTCTGTTTTTAGAGGAGTATACAATGTTTTAGAAGCCAAAACAAACAGGATAAAGAGCTATGTTGTGTCTCCAAAATGGAATGGAGTGAATGTGGTATTTACATTTGGTGGTTGATGTTTTTTTTAAAAAGAAAATAAAGAGATCCTAGTTCTGAGACTGAAAATATCAGCAGGTTGCTCCGTAAAGCATGACATCTGCTAAGAATATTAATGTGCAGTTAAGGCAAGTCAGTATTATGAAAGGACAACAGTGCTGCTATGAGGAATGACAGTTGTGCCACACAGACTACCTCCCAAGATGGGTGTAATATAGCTAAACTAGTGTGGCACTGGGTGCCTAGCGATAAACTCGCTTTCTCAGTGTCATAATAACACAGCTACATAACATCTGGTTTGGGTGGTAGCACTGAGGAAGCAGCCCTGGCATGCTTTTTAGGAGTACATCCTAGTGTGGTCCTTGGCAGTAAACATGTGCCTTCAACATCCTTTCCCTTCCCTTTGAAGTATGGAGTGTGAAACAGTGCAACCTTTCAAGTTAAAGGACCTACAGTTCTGTAGTGCCTGTATGGAAATTCAACTTCACTCACAGCCTTCTCTTTTTTAAGACTATAACACACCTGGGTTCTTGTGTCATCAAATTAGCATTAAAAATTGTTTTAGGCTATATTTATTCAGTAGCGTAATTAGGGTAGGGCAAGCAGGGCAGCAGTCCTGGGCGCTATGAGAAGGCACCAGAATCCCCCTCTCTCCTCCACTGAGAGTCTTTGCTGCTCCTGCCCCACCATAGGAGCTGGGCAGCGCAGTGCTGCAATGAAGCAGTGTATCTGCAGGTGGAGGGCAAGTGGGGCAAAGACTCCACCGAGGGTCTTTGCTAGAACAGGTGCAGCCCTGCACACAATATGTATGTATCTGGGAGGAAGGGGCAGTGAATGGGGCACCAAGACTGGCTCCCAGGGAGCCTGACTGCAGGGCTGCTGCCACTGGAGTAGCAGCAGTAGCCCAAGCAAGTAAACTTCTCTTCAATTTATCCACACCCTGCTCCCCTCTCCAAATCTACAGTGGTTGTCATATGCTCACCCCCTCTCCCTGCACCCTGGGCACTCACTGAGCTTGCTACACCTCTGTACTTATTATTTGGTATCCTTTGACAAGGGAACATCTGCAGGTAGCCATTAATACCTCTTTCTTTGCTGAGATCCATGGTTTATTTGCCAATACCTGATTACCAGATGTTTGGTTTGGTCATCACTTGGTTTCAGGTTCCTGAGTTTCTGTTTGATGTGACATGTTTAGCTGAACAGAGGTTTGACATGATGATACCTGAGCAGATGCTTGATCTGCCTGACCAAAAACTTCTGTGTGTCCAGAAACTTTTGCCTGTGAAGTGTTTGCCTGATCAAATGCATCCAACCTCTTTTCAACCACCACACGAATCAAGGCTGAAATGAAAGTAGTAGTTGTTACTAAACAGCAGAACAGGAGAAGTGAAAGCAGAACAAAACTGAACCAATAAAAGATGGTTGTTAAATTGCAGCTCTATAATCAAGGCTGAATTGAGTTTTGCACTTCAAGGAGGGATTCATCCTCACTGTTGTGAAGGATGCAGTATATTCTCCTTTGAACTGTAACACTAACTCTTTGAGCAAATGATACATTTGCTAGGAACTTACAAGGAATTCCATTAATTAGTTTTTGAGTTGAAATTAATTAAGAATGGATCCAATAAGAAATGAAGGATTCTATTTGACCTTCTTTTTTTGTACCAAACGGTCCAGTTCACACATTGTCTTTCACCACAAAAGAACTGCAAAGCACTGATTTTTAGAAGTTTCTTAAAAGAACAGATCTACTCAACTGTAAAATAGGAGGGTGAAAACTAGTATAAGTATGGAAATGAAGAGGGCAGGATGACTAAGCTATTGGTAAGCCTGTTTAACAAGTCAGCATGCTCCAGTCAGTGCTGTCCAAAGTGGCCCAAAGCAGCCAGAACATACTGGGCCTAAAGTTAAATTAAGTTAAACTACATTATATTAAAGACAGATATAGGGGGGCAATACATGCCTGCCAGGTATTAAATTATCACATTGTAACAGTCTCTCTGGGGGGGCTGTTTAGTGTTCAGATGCGACCATTTTAATAATTAAAAAAAAACAGGTAAGGAAATTACCACTCAAGAACTCTGTTGAGTGAAAGTAATTTAGAACAAAATAACTAACAGAGCAGTTGTAATTATCTAAAAATATAAGAAAATATGGAGGTAAGGTTAAATTTAAAAGATATCTAAACAGAAAGGAATGCACAGACACTCAGGTAACATCATTCTGACATTTGAAAAAAAAAAGGAACACGAATGAAGATTTTATGTGAGTTTAAAAATCAATTTAATCTAATCTGGGACTACAGATACTGATATGGATTCGTCATAAGTGTGTGTTTATTTTCAGATATCACTACTGATAGTTAGGTTTGTCTGTGCAGTTCAATAGCAGCCTATATAGCTCAGCTTTTTTAAATGATCCGAACTTTAATGAGTCACTCAGCAAGGATACTTTTACTGACTGCTGAGGTGCCAAGCAGTTACCTCTATGAAATATCTGACTGGTTAACATTTTTCCAGAATACTTATTCAATTATAAAATAAAAACTAGAAACTTATGATTGTTTGACGTTTCAGCCAATTATGGCCAAAGATTATTGTTTCCTTTTCTTGTTCGTTCATTTAGGATGAGCAGTTACTACACAGTTGGGGTAATTTACACATGTGAAATCAGAGGCCTTTTGTTACAGACAGATGGCCTTAAACAGTTTATGTGCTTTTCAAATTGAGGAACAAAAGATGCTTCTTTTCCTGAAACAGAAGCATAAACACAATGGGAGAATTCAATAAAAGACTACAGTTTGTCTTCCATGTAATAAATAAGGAATGAAAGCTATTAAAACAGGGAAAACAATTACCATTCATTAATGCTTTATGTCTACTAAATATATCCAATGCTTCTGGCAGAAGCATACCTCTGCTGGTAGTATTTAGTGTCTGGCAGAGGTCTGCCAGACACTAAATACTACCAGCAGAGGTTTGGTGTTGAATCAGGTCTGTTGTTTCTATTATTTCAGCTGAGCCACAATTACAAAACTGCAGCATAAAGTAAGCATGAAAATGTTCCAACAATAAAAAGGTTTTTAAAAAAAGGAAAATGGAAAAATATCATCCACCTCCTCACTTAACTCTCATTAAATAATTTGCTGCCTATTTCATAATAATCCTGCAGTTATTACATTAGTTTTCACTTAAAGAAATTAAGCAAGATAGTTTATATTTCATGACCTCGTAACTTACAATCAAGCATTGTTCTTCCCAGAATCTTCTTCTCCAATGTCTTTTCTACTTCTTCCATCAACCATGGAAGGAAATCCATCTCAATATCTTTAACATTTAGGAAAGGAAAACAAAAATATGTATTTTTATTAATGATAACTTATAAACTCTTGGGATATATTTTCTAGTTAATGTAAGGATGCTAGTCATAGATAAATGGAAAGCACAGAAGACGCTTGCCCTGTTAAAGCCTGATTTTACAAGAAGCTAAGGCCTAAATCCTCCTACTAATTTGGGAGTTAGGTTTCTATATAATTTCAGTCTCTCATCAACTGAGACTGATTTCAGAAGGGTGCTCAGATGTTGAGGGTGCTCAGTCCCTTGCAGGCTCAAGCCCCAAGTTAGAACTTGCATCTAATTAGGTGAAAAAGGTTGAACAATTGGGATAACAATAGTTTTGCTTTGAATATAAATGTATTCTGGTCTTTGGCCTGCCCAAAGTGTGTAATTCCTTCTAAGAAAGGATTAATGTGTGTGTGTAATTGTGTGTAAATAAATGTGTGTAATTTCCTTCTAATACCTGCTTATCCTGGTATTGCCAAGATCATCCAATTTTAGCAAAACAACTGGAAATCTTGTCCTATTTACATCTCTCGTAGTTTATACACCTACCCAGTGATTGGTGTTGTACAAAAACTAGTATTTTCAGGACCCAGGAAAAGTCATTATGTTGCAACATGATGGTTCAATGCGACTCAACACTGTGGTGCAATCACCTTGATAGCAAAGTCCTCTCACACACTGAAACCTTCAAAAGTATCAATTTCCCAGAGAAAAGTTAGCTGCATGCCATAGGAAGTGGCCTGTAGCTAATGTGCATGCAGAATTGTGCTTAAAACCTTAGGGATAACTTTTAAGTGGTCAATAATGACAGCAGTTGATTTACTGGAAGTGACCTTTAGAACAGGTTTCACTAACAAAATAAAAAACAACATTATAGAATCATACTCCTTGGACCAGAGAGCCTCTCTCTTCTTGTAACCTAGATGCCTCTACCTATCTGCAAGTAATCATAATAAATCTCAGAATGTGCTTCAAAAATAGGCACATCAAAGGGCTAACTAAATTCACAAGTGCAGTGCATGCGCGGTTACACTGACCTACAAGAAGAACAAAGGACAAGCACAAAGTTTGAGTTAAGCATGTGACTGTCAGCAGGTGACTTGGCTGGGATGATATAGTTGGAGATCATCCTGCTTTGAGCAGGAGTTTGGATTAGATCAGTGGTTCTTAACCCTTTTTGTACCAGGACCCACTTGTAAACATTAATGGTCAGACCCAACCCAGCGCCCCTCGTTCCTGACCTGCTACTCCCTGCCACCAGCCCCCAGACCCGCAGTGCGTGAGGCAGGGCAGGGCAGGGGTGTGTGGGGCAGGCGGGGATGTGTGTGGGGCATGGAGGGCCCCAAGCAGCCTTCTGCAGGCTGGAACTCTGTCAGCCTGCAAGGGAAAAGTTCTGGTTTCCCACATTTTTCTTTTTTAAAGGAGACTCCATTTTTAAAGTTTGTTTGTGACCCTTTCATATATTCTTGTGACCCATTTTTGGGTCGTGACCCACAGGTTGAGAAATGCTGGACTAGATGACCTTTTGAGGTCCCTTCCAACCCTAACTTTCTATGATTCTATAACTTATGAGGTCAAATTGTTAAGCTTGCTGGAATTATTATATGAGATGATAATAAAAATGTATTTCAAGTTTGAAATTCCAGTTCACTATTTAGAATTTTAAGCCAGATAGTCTTTTCATTCAATTCATATACACCTTAGGATTTTTGTTTTGAAGCAGCAAGCCAGAGCACTAAGATTTTGACAGTGTTTCTTATATATTTTTTTCATATTTTACTTATCTCATGCTTATCAGAACCATTCTCTTTTTATCATTAAGTAAATGCGCTATTTCTGAAGGGAGGAGTGACGGTACTATAGAACTATATCCTCTATCCCCAGAGGAATAATCTGAAGTGCAGTGCACAGTGCTCCATCAAAGTGACTAAAATCAGGAAGAATGGACCATTTCTAGAGCTTAGAAGGTGGTTTGTTTTGATGACTGCTCAGTTCTAGGCTAGTCTTTTTATACCAGGAAGTAAAAGTGATGGAATAACACTGGTTTGTTGAGGCCAAAGTATTTAATTTGAAAGATCTCTGCCATCATGAACTCCTGCTGGTGGGTCTTGCTTGGGGCTGGGAATGCTGGGAGCTGTTGGGTCCCTCATCTTGGGGCAAACACACTTGGCAAGTCTGCTGCAGGGCTGGGGACTATGCAAGCTGCTGATCCCTGACTTTAGGCAGTATGCTGGGACATCAGCTTTAGAGCCAAGAATCCTGTGACCTGGTCCCCTTGCAATTTTGGGGAGTTTCTGAATACCTAGAGATTGCTTCAGTCTGATTTTAACCGAAACAAAATGAAAAAAGAAAAGAAAAGAAATTTCTTGAAAACTGGAAGCCCTGACTTTCAGGCACTTGTCACTAGCAAAACTGGCACACAGTGGAATTGTTTTATTATGGAGGCCAACCTACTATAGCTCAGAGATTAGCAACTCATGCTATGTAAACCAAGGACATGCCATTGGAGGTTAGTGATATTGAGGGCCTAATTTTGTGTCAGAAAGCAGAAGCCTATATTCATGTGTACCTTTTCACACAGTACTTGATAAGCATGCCCTCTTTTGCATTCACAGAACTGTATAGACCTAATTCCTGGTAGAAACTCTGGCTCTCAGTTACCATGGACTGGGAATGGACCAGTGGCCTTATGATGAAGGGTTTCAAGAGTGATTGCAAATTCCTTCTAGTCTGTCTCCTCCTCCCTTTTCACATCCATCCCATATCTGAAGGTAGCTTTGTTATTGCAGTTAATTAGGAAGAAACAACTGAAGTTTCATTCTGAAGTTAGCTTCCACAGACGCTTCTTTTTAAAACAAGGTGGAATCCTAATGTTTCTGATACACTACAACAGTGACTATAGTTAGGCAGCCAGTTACAATCCAGCTATTTTCCAATGCTGTTTGTTTCTATCTACACATGATAAAGCAAGCTATAATAACCACATTAAGAAAACCATGTTACAGCTCTGATTTGATCAAGTCAGTTGTAAGATTATAACCAGGATGGGGTACTCAGCTGCCTAGATCAAGCCAAGTTATAACAGAGACTAAGCCACTGGAGGCCATCCACTTTGGCAGGCATGCCTGTACTCTTCCCCTACCTGATCTACTGCTCTGCTTTCTGTTCCTTGCCCTATGCTCCCTACCTGATCTATTGCTCTCATCTGTTGCATGCCACACAGAGGCTGGCCATGCCTCTGGTTGGCCAACCTTGACTAGGCACTATGTTATAAAACTACCCAAGGTACAGTAAATTTTGTAAGGTCAATGAGCCCGTATGTTATATAATATTCGACACACACATCCCTCAGAAATGGCAGCGAACATGTCTTCTGTTAAATGCAGTGATTTCAATGGCACAAGGAAGAAAAATAAATCATATGTATTTTTAACACCATTTTCCCTCTAGACCTATAATGGCAGGTTTGCCAAAATGTTTTACTTCCAAGGACTGGAAAGGTTAGATTTTGAAACCACATAATTGTTGTTGTTTTTTTTTAATAAGCTTTGAAACTTCCCAGGCCAAGCACGATTATATTTTAGATTTGAAAATTAGATTTTCTAATATAAAATCTTATTTGTGAAGGGAGCAGCTTGAATGGGAAGGCTAACTCTTATGGCGTCGGCAAAGAGGCTGAATGGTTCGCTGAACTGACTGGGCACTTGGCCATCCTTTTCAAGTTGTAATTACTGGACTTGATGACTGACCCCAGCTGCCAGAGAAAGATTATTATATCAGCAGGCTCCCTTCTTTGGAGTTCTTAGGTAAATTTTTGCAGCTCATGAAAGCAGCTGGCCTGCTAGCTCTGGAGACATTTTTTTCAAGAAGCACAAGATAGGTGTGGCAGTGACAGAGTTCTTGTGCCACAGAAGCCAAGTTTAGTGCCTCCCCTAACCCTGCACAATGAGAGCATGTGCAGGGGAACCAGGAGACTACTATCCCTCACCCTGCAGAAGCAGAAGAGATGAAGGGTCGGGAATGACAGGAGTGAGGAATTAAGCAGTTAGAGAGAGGCTGAGGCCAGATAGAAGAAACTGGTAATTTCTGACAGTCCCGTGACCTTAACTATATTTAAATTGGAAATCTAGCCAAGAAAAATTTTGTTTCTCATTTTAAGCTCGTTGGGATAGGGGCACCTTCTTGTTCTGTATTTGTACAGTATCCGACTCAGTGGGGTCCTGATACAGGACTGAGGCTCCTATGTACTACAGCAGTAAAAACAACAACACAACAGTAATATCAATATCATTACACCAACCAGTGCTTCCCCACTTTTAGAGTGCTACTGTATCACAACTACTACAGCTCAGGTCTACTTTTGCCCTGTGTCCTATCAAATTCTGCTTTTCACTTACATTAAGTTGTAAGCTTAAAATTCTCCAAATCTAGCGCTTTCCACTAAAAACAAAGATAAAAGCTCTTGCTGACACAAACATGATGCATTTGCATATGGGTGACCAGTAATGTTAGTTTTAGAAATGGTATTTTTTCTAAACTAACAATTTGCCCATTTACAAATATAAACAGTAAATGAAATGTAGTTTTATTATTTATATGTGTGTAACCAATAGTAAAGGATAAGAAAGGCTTTGTAAACTCGAGAGACACTGAGCGTTGCGGTTGTTTGAGTTGTGTAAGAAAAGGATTGTACCAACCTCTTTCTACAGGATCATAGAAATATCCACTCTCACGAAGGCTGCTGAAAACTGAAGGAATGAGATCAGCCAGGTAACATTGTGCAAAAGCCCGAGCTGCGATTTTCTCTGAAGTCTCCTTCTGCTTTTGCAGCACTTGTACCTGTTGGCGTTTCCGACGTTCCTGACAAAACAATGTTTGACTGTAAACTTTTTGGCTTTATTCCCTCTTCAAGTAAAATGTGTGAAGTGTGAAAATGTAAAATATGAAACTTTTAAAACAGGGACACATACTGTGGGCTGGCTATTTTTCCTAAAAACATGTAACTCACATTAATACTTATGGGATCTAGATACAAAAAATGAAGTCTAGAATCATATGCACTTCTTTTCAGAGTATCACAGGGCTCCAGACGTATGACTGAAGTTGCTCATGCTCTTTCCAATTTCAGGTTGAGTGAAGGATGTTTCCCTCACACATGACTCATTACAGAAGATAGTTGATAAATTAACTAGAATTACTGCAAACTCTCCAGCTCTTCTGAATTTAATGTCATGTGACATTACAGTTGAACATCATGTCATGTTAATGATGTACCATGGTGGTATAAGCATGGCAACATAATATAAGAGGATATCACTGTGATATCTTGATCTGCTCTCTAAGGGCATCTTTACATGTGCTCCCAGGGTGGGAGTGTGCGCTTTAATTAGAGAAGCTCTGAGAGCCGCTCTAATTAAAGTATCCGTAGCATCTCATGTATTCTGTATCCTGTGCTTTAAAATGGCAGCAGGGTCGCTTTAACTAAAGCTTGTTCAACAAGCTGTAGTTATAGTGCCCATGCCGCCATTTTGAAGTGCAAGGATGATGAATACATGAGACATAGAGGCTGCTGGAGAGCGCTAATTAACATGGTCCAGCAGGCTTGATTAATCAAGCCTGCTCTGACGTGCTATAATTACAGCACATTGGAGCAGCATCTCTGCGTGTTTACAAGCAACCTAAGGGTTTATAAACACTGTATGTGACTTGTTAATGGTTATATTTTATATACACATTATATAAATTAAATTAACAACAGGATTGTCAAGAAATTTACTCAGGAATGGCCTATGTGTGGATATATGCTTCTCCCAAAGAATTAAAAAGTCATTCCCTTTGATTTCCTGGCTTGAATGCCCAAGGAGCTCAGCAACCTGGTTTTCAACTAGCAGAGCAAAAAGCCAGGAAAAGAGAATAAAGATTCTGGTTAGTTGTCAAAGACAGTTTCCCTGACACCAAGGTTGATATATAGAATTTAAGGAGCTGGGGTAAAATAAGCTTATGATCAGAGGTAAGATAGACAAGCTTGTAGGCCTCCTTTTGTTTCAAACACCTTTCCTCTTATGCTTCACTTTGTTCAGTTTAAGACTGTTAAAGGTCATTGCATTTACTGTTGATTACATGTTCTGAATGGGAAGCACTATGGGTACCAAATTCAGTTGGATCAACCATATAAGTATGGTTGATACACCAGGTATAACTGTATCTGTATATGTACCCAGTCTACAAGTATATAAGGAACATGGGGGTTCCACTTAAGCCCTATGACCTTGACCAATTACATTTTTTGGATCTATGAGTCACCCCTTGAAAGTCAAAGTATCTCTGACACTTAAGGCAATCACTACAGGATCCAACCCCTTAAAAACGTTTAAGTCTAAAAAGACATTATTCAGGGTTTTGGTGTAAGCATTCTAAAAGAATAACACAAATGCCTACTCAGAATTTAATAACAAACACCATGGGTTGGATGCTCATATAAGTCATTAGGTACACACAAGCCATGTCTACACAAGATGTTTACTGTGCAGTAGCTTGTTACTACTGCACATTAGCGTTGATGGGCATAAACCATGATGCGATGCTACTACGCAGTAGCAATGAGCTACTACGCAGTAAGCATCAATAGGCAACCATGCTGGGCCACTACTGTGCAGTAACACTGGTTACTGTGTAGTCATTTAGTACTTAGTTATGCAAGTAACACCTGCACAGTGGGTGGCTCGTGTAGACGCACCCACAGAGCTTAAGAAAAGCCTGTGCATACTCAACATTCTATTACTGACAGCCTGAAAGGTTTCTTTTTAATTTTAGAGTACTGCAAGCATTAATTTAAGGGGCATCTCTATGAACCTCTCAAAATTAACTGCTTGACTAATTGTTGCATCACATACCTAAGGCAAAATAAGATTGGGTTAATCCCTATCTAGTAGAATGTTACTGTGAAGGGATTATTGTCACGGAGCACTGGGGTGCCCCGTGCCTAGAGAGGAGAAACTGCCAGGGAGAGAGAGCCCTGGCAGAGCATAACAAGCCCAGCTGAGTGTTGCCAGGGTAACGAGCCCAGCTGCGGGTTGCCAGGGCAACTAAGGGGAGCCAGCTGCCTGTAGGAGGCAGGGCCTGGCTCTTATAAAGCCCAGGGCTGAGGCCAGGCTGGCAGGTCCCTGCCAGCAGCTGGAGAGGCAGGAGCTCCCTCAGACAAGACATGGGAAGAAGCCTGACTTGCAAGTACAGCTCATGATAGCCCTGAGAGGATTGGGCACTATGGTTTAGCCAGGGGGCTTTATGTTTGTGTTACAGCCAGGAGGCTCTAGTTTATGTTCGGCTTACATATTAGACCGGAGGCTTGGGTGAGGCTGTAGGGGTTGGAGGAGGCCTCATAGGGACCCCATAGGGGCGGGGTGCCCTAGTGCCAGTGGAGGTGCAGCTTGCGTGCTAGTGGAGGCGCAATTGAGTGCAACCAGTGGGTTGCGGGTGGGGAAGAGAGACCCTGGATTGTGTGTGGGGTGCATAGACCCCAGCCCCGAGAGGGGCGTATTTGAGAAGACCTAGCGTGGGCATAGTGAGCCCCAAGGAGGGGGCGGCACTATTAGAAGTGCAACCAGTGGGTTGTGGGTGGGGAATTGAGACCCCGGATTGTGTGCAGGGTGCATAGACCCCAGCCCCGAGACGGGCGTATTTGAGGAGCCCCAAAGAGGGGGCAGCACTACTAGGCAGCCCAAGGCGGGCGCAAGGAGCCTGAGAGGGGCAATATAGGAGCCCAACAGGGCAATATATGAGAGGCCCAAGAGGGGCCAGACTGAGAAGCCCAGGATGGGCTTAGTGAGCCCGGTAATCGGCTAGCGCTGCAGGGAAAAACCCAGGACAAGGGCAGGGTGCTGCAGTGGACCCAAGGAAAGGGCAGCACTACTAGGCAGCCCAAGGCGGGCGCAAGGAGCCTGAGAGGGGCAATATAGGAGCCCAACAGGGCAATATATGAGAGGCCCAAGAGGGGCCAGACTGAGAAGCCCAGGATGGGCTTAGTGAGCCCGGTAATCGGCTAGCGCTGCAGGGAAAAACCCAGGACAAGGGCAGGGTGCTGCAGTGGACCCAAGGAAAGGGTTAGCAGCACAGTGCCCCAGAGAAGGACAGGGTGCTGCAGTGGTCCCCAAGGAAAGGGGATAGCAGCACAGCGTCCTGTAAAAGGGGAAGCAGCGCGGTGGGCCTGAGAGACCAGAGGCTCGAGATAAGAGTCCCAGGGCGGACAAGGGTCCCTGAGTGGGACAACACTGGAAGAGGCCCCAGAGAAGGGGGGCAGCATTTTAGGAGGCCC